AACGTTTTTATCAAACACGTTAACTTTTGATTTCGCGCGCCGAATAATGTAATAATCAAAATAATTAAGATTAAAGTTACTTTTTTGTCCGCATTGGCTGAAGTTACTGTAGAAGATTATTCTAGTTATTTTTCATATAATTTTTTCTTTGTTTTATTAATGAAATGTATTTAAAATATAATGTTTTCATAAATCATCAGAATCAATCAATATAATTACTTCAACCAAAACTCTATAAATTTAAACAAAATCAATCAATTTAGTTAATTTTGAAGGTTACCAAGCTCCACAATCCACATCACTTAAATTGAGTTTATTTGAATATAGACCGTTAAATAATTCGAAGAGTCAAGACAGAGAAAAACGACAATTGTTTTACAATGTGATGGGCGTACAACCGGTACACACGAAAATAATTAGACATATCCCATCAAATAATTAAATAATAACCACTTGCGCTTTCGTACTATTTTGACATTTCTGAGGAAGAGTGAGGCTAAAGGGGCATATTTGGAAGCTGACGCCACGTGACCAGACGTACGGCTGCTGCCTGTTGGATACATACCATCAAACTGGGAGGTATTTCAAACCCGGGTTTGGTCAGACTTCCAGATTCCATCTTCCCATTTCGTATTCATCTGCTTCTCTTCTTCCTCCGTGGCATTTCGATTCTGGGCATTCATTTCTTGAGGAAATTTCAGAGTCATTCGTTTCTGGGCATTCGATTCTTGAGGATATTTCAGAGTCTTGGCACTGTAATCTCAATATTGATCAGAACATGGCTGAGAAATCGTCCATATCAGGTACCTCAGCGTGAACTGTATATAGATTTTCGGTATTATTAATGCATGCACGAATACGTTCTTAGGGGTTGGTATGAATCCTTAAGTTCCCAGCTTCAAATCGTGGTGTCTTGAGATTGGCAGGGCTCAATTCAAATTTTCAGTTTTTACTCGTTCAAGATTGAAACTTTCTGGATTCTTGTTCTTCTTGTTGCAGTTTATGTGTGTCTTATTGGCGTTATGGTTCTTTATCTTTCAATTCTGACTATCATCTCCCAAAATAAAGATACCCTGAGGAGTTGCATTTATTAGTTACTTCAATCCTGTTATTATTGACTCTGTTATGCAATTATGGTACAAGAAATTGAAGATTCAAGATCCCTTCCCAAACATTTCTTTTTGAGATGTCCACTATTCTTCTGTTAATTTTTTAGACATATGATAAAGAAATGTTGGTAGATGGTAGGTTAGCATTTTGGTGGGATACCAGTAATGCACAAATGTTTAGAGCATTTTTGTAGTAAATGGGCCTTCATAGATCTTCTTTGTGATTTGCTAAACTATTTCTTTTTTATGTTTTTAGACTTAAAGAACCTGTCCATAACTAGTAATGGAAAACCAGTAGAGAAAAGTCAACAGCTAGTTGTTTGTTTTGGGGAAATGCTGATTGACTTTGTTCCAACTGTCGGTGGAGTTTCCCTTGCTGAAGCTCCTGCCTTCCAAAAAGCCCCTGGTGGTGCACCTGCTAATGTTGCTGTTTGTATTTCAAAGTTGGGTGGTTCTTCTGCATTTATTGGCAAGGTGCATTTCTCACTCTGTCATGATAGGATGATAGGCTCCTATAAAGCACATTGAAAATCCCAGACCCTTATGTGATTTATCTATCTTCATTCTTGATAATGCTGTTGGTGCCTTTTTTTTTTTTTTTGTGTTTCTTGAAATTGCCTACTTCCCAAATCACTATGGGTATATTTCAATGGCAATATGCCATTGAAATGAAAAAGGAAAAAAATTAAGGAAAGCTTTTCTCTTGTGTGTGGTCTTACATCAAACAATTGCGAACAAAAAATGATGTATGACTACTGTTTTGAATTGAATTTCATCGCTCAAAGTTTCTAGTTTTTATGTCATATAATATATCGGTAATGGTTTTGAGAAAATTTCAAAATAAAGGTATCGGTTTTGAACCAATGAATTATACACTTCCAAATTTTCCTACCTTCCGAATTCCACTTTTGTTCCTCCCAATTATCATCCCTTTGAGTTTTCCAAATTCCTAACTGGATAGAAAGCATGCAGGAAAACATAGAGTAAAATTTTAGAGAAGAAAATGTGGGCGAAATAAAAGATAGGCTGAAACTTGATATATTTATTTGAGATATTTGTTGATGCTCATTTATATATACTTATAAATACTACTTAGTATATAAAGACTAAGAAATCTTAATATTTTTTAATGTATGTAAAAAGAAAGTTGGGGGCATAATCACATTTCATTTTCCTTCGTAATTTACAATGTAAAACCAAATCTATGAAAGCAGCATTTCTTATCTCTTTTTTCTTTCCCTAGTTCCATAGAGACCTAACATTCTGGAAATTTGAAAAATAAGTGAGAGAGAGAATGTAAGGTTGACATATCCACTTTTTGTTTAAGGTGGGGGATGATGAGTTTGGGCGTATGTTGGATGATATACTAAAACAACACAAAGTTGACAATTCAGGCGTGAGGTTTGACCACAAAGCTAGAACTGCACTTGCATTTGTTACTCTAACTGCAGACGGCGAACGCGAGTTTCTCTTCTTCAGAAACCCAAGTGCTGATATGCTTCTTCATGAAACAGAGCTTGACATTGACCTTATAAAAAAGTCTGCTATATTCCACTACGGTTCAATCAGTTTGATCGACGAACCATGCAGGTCCACCCATCTGGCTGCAATGGCCATTGCTAAAAAATCCGGTTGTCTACTTTCTTATGATCCGAATTTAAGGTTGCCTTTGTGGCCTTCAGAAGATGCTGCCCGAAGTGGGATAATGAGTATATGGGATCAAGCAGACATCATAAAGGTATGCGATGATGGAATGCACTACAATGGAAGATTATTAGTGGTATACTTTGACGTAACTGCTCCTTTTTTGTAATGTTATAGATAAGCGAGGATGAGATTTCATTCCTTACAGGAGGAGATGATCCCTATGATGATGATGTGGTGATGAAGAAGCTCTTTCATCCGAATTTGCTTCTTTTGATTGTAACAGAAGGTTCTGCTGGTTGCAGATATTACACTAAGGTATGGTTGAAATGGCTCTTTTTTGTGCTTACTGTTGCTGAAGAAAATGTGTTTTCTAAACTATGGTTACTTACATATTTTCTGTCCACTGTCCATGAAAACTTGGGCTACTTCTGGATCCTTGATAATGCTAGTGAATGAAAAGAAAATGCTAACGAATGTTTAATTTTATATATGGACTTAATGTTTTGTGGGTTAATTTTCTTACAGCAATTTAAGGGAAGAGTGAATAGCATTGCAGTAAAAGCAGTAGATACAACTGGTGCTGGTGATTCATTTGTGGGAGGGCTACTCTCACATTTAGCCTCAGACATTAACCTCTATCAGGTAAGCGGGTGTGTGATTTTTTGGATTGCCAGGTTATAAGAATAATCAAAATAACAGTAAACACGTTGATGGTATATATTTTGCGCAGGACGAGAAGCGTTTGAGAGAAGCACTTTTCTTTGCTAATGCCTGCGCTGCCCTCACGGTAACACAGCGGGGAGCAATACCAGCCCTCCCAACTAGAGAGGCAATCTCCAGCTTCATTTCAGAAAGGCAAAACCATCTTTGCACTGACCAATGATTCTCTTGGAGTAAGAAGCCAGTTTCAGATTAGTGATTCTGCTTGAATAAACTATTAGATAGTTTTGTGTTCCTTACCTTGTGACACCTTCACAGGTACTACTAGTGAAAGTGTAGTTAGTAATCCTGCTGGTTTACATAAAAAACTTGCTGCAAGTGGATGAACCAAGGCCATTATTGCTTAATGAGGCCAAGAGGAGGGGGCAAGTACTGTGCACCATCACAATGTCAATCAATTTCCTGCTTCTATAGATTGTAATTTTTAGTGCTCTACTGGGTTCAAGTGTTTGTTATTATTATGATCTTTTATTTTTTCTGGGGTCATGCGAAGTGCATAACCTCCTGTAAGAAACTGGTTGGTTTGTGTGATTGTGCTCAATGGCTATGGTGATTCATATTCAAAAATCAAAAGCTTTGTCTAACAATCCCAGAATTGGCCTTATCTAGTTATCTCTAATCCTATATTGTCTGATCCATTTATTCATACACTAAAGTTGTGTTTGTGGAGGCCAAGATTGCATGTGTGATAAAGCCACAGACACAACATTCTGAGGAAACAAAAATAAAATTAACTACACTTTTATTTAACAAAAAAAAAAGGGTCTCAAGTCTCAACCTCTATGATTGCGTTTAATTTATTTTAAATAAAAATTAAAATTTTACAAGACTTGCAAGATTTATTAATATATACAGTGAGGTGATAAGATCTGTGCAAAAACATTATACACAAATGAAGATGACATTCATATAAATATCAGTTAACGGATTTCATTGAACATATTAGGAATGTAGCAAAACATTCATGCCACACACAAAAATGTCTCTCAATAACCTATGGTAGCCTTGCTAATGTGTTTAATGTTAGAAAAAACAATTGCTAGTAATAACAAGAGGAAGGTTTTTGCGAAAAACCCATTATCCAAAAAGATTGCTAAGTTTTAGCAGAACTCACACATTCACTTGGCATCTCAATAATGTCACTATGAATGTGGAAAGAATATATATGTAATTGTTTAAACGAGAAAATGGTCGAGCTCAGTTGGTCACTGGTTTATTCTCCCATATGAAAGGTCTTGGATTCAAAACTACTTGGAAGGATTTGCAACCCTTTATCCTAGCTAATTTGATACTTTTCGTAAATAATGTTTTTTTGGCAAGAAAATAATGTTTATTTTAATTAGTTACTCTATACTTGCATAAAATATGATAAAGTTTTACACAGGACACTTTTTTTAATCTAAATAACCTATACACATTTAATTGTTACTTATCTCTAATATACTTCGTATAATGTAAAGACAGAACTTATGCCTCTTAAGAATTTGTATGCAAATTGGAATAACAAATTTTTTTCAACTCAAGGAAAAAATTCTTTGGAATGTGCTGCGGCTGAAATGAAGAAATAACCGGAATAACCAATCCCTCAGCCTGTGATGCGGCTGTAGACGACGCATTTTTCCTGGGTCGCCGATTTCGTATAGCCTTTATCACAACTTTTCTCGCCGGAGTTGCGCTAATTCCTTCTCTAATGGCTGCTAATACGAATCCGGATCCCAACTCTGGCGCTACGGCCAAGTCCCTTCTGCTGCCGGACATTGGTCCGGATGGCATCGCCAGAGAATCCCCCGTCATCGCTTACACCGAAAAGGTCATCACTCTCATTCTCTCTCAATTCATACGTATAGAATGATAGAATTACTAGCAGAAGCATTTACACGTTTATGACGTTCGAGTTCATTGTTTCAGCTAATTGAAGAAGAGAAACTTCATTTGAGGAAGTAAGTATGACTTCTCACCTCTAGTCCCTTCTCTGAGATCTATTCATTGTCTTTCTTCCTCAATACATTTCGTTGTATTGCACTAAGTTATTCAGTGCTATTCCATGCGTTGCTTGTTCTTGTATCCTTGGATTATCTGTATGGAATCAATAGTATGAGACAGATTTGGGTAATCTTCATGAAATCAGTTGTATCATATTCCCCATATGGCCACATTTTTTTATGATATTGGGTATTAGTCCTCATTTAAAAGTCTGGAGCTATTTTCTCTCTACTAATAGCACCTGAAAGGATTAGGCCTATCACCACCTTTCACATCAAACCACTGTCTGATGAACAACCAAACGACCCCAATATGTCTGTCATATACTTTCAAGATTTTGAACAGTTGAAATTATCAAAATGCAGAGCCAATAAGGTAAGTTCATTAACTAAAATAACTGAATTTTGCGCAAGGCATTTTCAAAGACAAATAAGCAAAGCTTGTATGAATTCTACATAATGTAAGTCACCTGTGAGTATAACACATTGACTGCTGAGAACCAGTACACATTTTTTGAGCTAACAGTAGGAATATATGGATGTATAAATGACACAAACTGTCTACTTTTAGACCATTTTTAAGTTCATCATCAATAAGCAGTACTTGTATCCATTGCACCTTAAAAGATTGACTATTTCATGGTTTCATTCACCATAAGAATTTATTAGAACCTTTAATATCATAATCACACATTCTAACCATTTTTAGCCTTCTAGTCCACTTTTGAGTTAAAATCCCTCCATTCAAAGCCTCTACGGTGCCAATTGCTCCTCTCTTTTCCTGAAATTTTATAATGGCTACCACAGATTGAAAAACTCTATGAAAATAATAGTGTAGCATGCATTTGCATTTAGTCATAGCAGAGTGTCTTAGGCTTATTCCTCAAGTGGAGAAACACTGTCAGAGACATTGAAGGTCAATCCTCTTCCCACTTTGATATTTGAGCTTGATCTCATATCTGACAAACATATCCAAAAGTTAGAAAAAGGGTGTTGTAAATGAAGCAATGGATGGAGTTGACATCCCCATTAAATGACTGCAAAGTGCTGCATGCGGAAAAACCAATGTACCTCCTCGAAGGGACTGTTAGCTAAAGCACATATCTAAAGGATTGATAAATTATAATGTTGAAAGAAAGGCTACGAAGCCAATCTAATTCATAACATTATGTTTACTGTGTCTGACTATATGAAGTCATGAAGATTTATCGGTTTGCAATGCATCAATAGGGGAAAGTAAAGATTTTTGAAGTCTCTGTTTCTTCCTTCTGCTTACTTATCTTTACTTGTGGCTTGTGGTAATTTTCACTTTTTCAAATGATATTACCTGGTACTTGCTTCTGGCAATCTGGGACTTATATTTGAATAACTAAAGGACTCTTCAACTGTTTTCATATTTTGTTTTAGGCTCTTTTTTTAGGCTTCATTTGTTCCCCTTTATTAAATCGTTATATATAATCCAGATACTTCGATATGAATTAGACTATGAGGCAATTGAAATGTTATATATGAACCAGACTATGAGGCAATTGAAATGTTATATACGAACTAGACTATGAGGCAAGTGAAACATATACGTACAGTTTTCTGTCTGATTTTGTTTTATTCTTCTCTTGTATGCCTGTCAGATATATTGAAGAAAATTATTCCAAGATTCGTGATGTTGAACGTGAATTGACAAATCTTACAATGGAGATGAAACTCACAGCTGGGCCTAAGAAAGCAGGTCTTATTCTTGGCAAATACTCCGATTCTGTTATTTAATCTGAGCTTGTTACGATTTAATTGTCTAATTTCAATTTTGTATGCTGCTAATGCGTGAATGCTGTTTCAGCACTTGAACACATGAGAAGGAAAATAGAATTAACAACTGAGAAAATACATGCTGCCAAGCTGAAAGAAGAACAAGCACGCAAGGTTTGTATTGTACTCTCCCTAATCCTTCTCTTGCTTCCGCTTTCCATGTTTTCATATAGTCATATTCATAGTTGACCAGATTATTCGCCATATGATTGTGTGCTGATTTTCAGGATTGGGAAGCCGCAAAACAGGCTGTGAAGGATGAGGAATCTGTAAAACAGAAGCTCTGTGAAGATCTGAATAATCTGGTATCTGTCATCTACATTATTTCTTCCCACACATAAGTTGTGTTTTCGCAGATCTTATGTTCTATTACCAAAAAAAAAAATTGCAGGTTCAGGAAAGTAATAGTAGCCAGTTTGCAAGACTGGAGGAGCTAAAGAGGCGGTTAGAGGCTTTAAATCCAAGCAGATCATCCACTTCAATCCCTTATGTAAGATGTTCCTTCCTTTTTTTGTCAAATGTATGGATGCACCATGTGGCATTAATGTTTAGACATTTCACCAGTTTCCTTCTTTTTCCTGGTGAAACATTCATCTTAGAATTTTTGGTGGTTTACAGTCATCTAATGATATGCACGTTGATTTTACAGTATGGATTCTGATATGGGATATGGTTATATGACTAGACTTGATGCCAAACTCGCCTCCTCTCATGACATTTTCTGCGGAAATGAAAAAATTACAATGATTTTGTAGTGATAATTAGTCTAGATAATTAATTCCTGCTTTTCTTCTGTTGTGGTTGGTGTTATGAATGCACCACACCTTTCATCTTCTAGTATTTATTTCATTTTAAGCTAGTATATCTCTCTGTTGTGTGATGTACAATATTAGGACCAGAGTCCAGCTGGAACTCCCCAGATCAATGCAACCCAAGATGCCTCAGTGATTCCGAATACACTCGAATCATCTATTGCATCGTCTGCAAATGCACCTAAGGAAGGAAGTTCTGCAAATCCAACTTCAGTAAACATCCACAACCAACAGCAACAATCTTCAACAGAAAGTGAGGGAAGATCAGCAAAGAAAACCAATGTCCATGGAAGAGGAAGGGGGATTGGGGCAGTGCTAAAGAAAACTTCAGCAACACCTGGTTGGACCGGGGCTGGTTTTGATGTGGATGGTAGAAATTAAAAGTTTGCTCTTTTTTCCATGTTTCATTCAATCATGCTAGAGGTAAATTTGCTCAGGCCAAAGTACAAAAGTTGTATAATTTGTTCATTTTTCCCATACTGGAAAATTGTCATGATTCAACATTTCAATATATTCCGGACTCTCGTGTATTTTGAAGTGTAAAGAAAGCTAAGAGACCGCAAAATGCCAACATAATTTCATTTGAGTGAAGTGCTATCCAATTAGTTCGGTTGAGGCACTGTATCCTTTAATAGCATTGTTATAGATGGTGTCGTAAGTCGTAACCACTTCTGAAGATGACGATGATGGACAATTGTGACTCTCTGATAGTGTTTAGTGGTGTTACGGTTGTTGAAGAAATAGTGCTAGACTGCTAGTGGTCTTAATGCTTATGGTGGTTTCTAGCCGTGGCAATTGTTAATGGTAGACTGGTATGAATGTATGATTGATTCTATAGACTATACTTAAACTTTTGAAATCATATCATTAACATTGTTGAGCTTAATTCCCTCCAAAGGTCGAACATGATACCTCTGATGGATGGTACTGTGGTAGATCCGGATGTACCAGGCATAGTAATAACAGGTGAAAACAAGGTATATATGATTGATAAAGATGAAAAACTCTTGCAATATAGTAAAAAATAGCCCTAAGACTATTTTGCTTTACAAATCGCAGCAACAATGATGCTTACAAATGTTGAGTATTAAATGATATTGAATGCTGGGAAGAGGAACTATTTATAGTACGGGTGGGCGCGGTCCGGAACGGTCTGGTAATTTAGCAAAACCCGTAATGTACCCGTGAGGTTTCTAACGGTTCGGTACGATCCGGTTCTAAGGTTAGAACCATTCGGTAGCATGTCGTTTCGGAACGGTACGAAACGGTTCGGTACATACAATGCCAAACACATGTCGAAACATTTGGACAAATCTTGAAATAAATATATATCATCACACCGGTTAATTCAAAGGAAATGTTGATAAAAATACAAGAAAATGCATACTAAACACTAGTAAACACTTTCTCATTTCTTGTTTTCAGAATTTTCAAATGGAAAACCTTTCCGATAGTTCACAATTCCTCATGTTTACAAAAGCATTCCTCCACTGCTACTCCTACTTTGAAATACAACACTTGTTTGACCGTTTGAGGAAATTTCTTAAATATGGGTAAAACATAGGGAAGTTTCATAAAAAGTGTATCATTGTTTTCTTCTCAAATTTGGACTCATATTCCTCTTTGAACAACTTTTTATTATTTGACCAATTTGCATATTTGGATCAGTTATTCAGCTTTTTTCATATTCTCTATTCTACTTATTCTGTACTTTTTTCATTCACTTTTTTTTTATTACTTTTTCCACATATTTTTAGAAATATGTCTTCAAAGTAAGTAATACGAAGTATCTATTATTTTAAACTTAGTTAAATCAACAAAAGCTAAAGTAAAAATTGTAATTCGCATTTCTTCCATTGCTTTCCACATAAATTACACATTTTTTATTTCCTTATTTATGTTCAAGGTGAACATCTTCTAGCCACAGTAGATTTGGTAACCATTGCTTTTATGTACAGCAAAATATTCTAATATATTTTATGAAATGAGTTTTATGAGTAGTTTTTATTGTGTTTTCCAACTTATTGTAGTACTAGTTCTTGTAACGCGCGATGCGCGATCGGGATAATGCCCAATGTGTTTTGTGTAACATAAGTCTTTAATTATATATGTTTGCACCTCATAAAGCCCTTGTTTAATTTGGATATGGGCGGATTAGTCCAAACCGCCAAGTTTTCACAAAGCAAAACGTTGCTCTTTGCACCGGTTTGGTGTGAAACAGTCAAAAACCAAACAGAGCCAATGCAAAGTATCTTTAATTATACCATATATCATAATGTCCAACAAAAAGATATTATAAGATATTATAATGGCATGCAGAAGTCTTTTTAGACTGAAGTTCTTATGTTGGCCCATCTGTGAAGCTAGACTAACATAAAACATAAGTATAATTTTTCTACATTACAACCGGAATTGAGACCTTTAATTCTCCTAAGGTCATTACATAATGTTATGAAGTCTCCCATTTCATGTGGCATCTTCTCATAAAATCGTATGATCTGTTCAGTTGAGAACATTGAAAACCCTTCCAATTACTCCCCTATAACACCATTTTCTTTGATACTTTGCCTAAAGTTACCGAGATTAATTTCTTCCAACCACAGACCAACATCCTGGCAAAAAGAACAAGAAAAAGACATTAAATTCAAGTTCTTTGAATAAATCATTCAGTGTAATTAACAGTACTCAACCATAATCAATTTTTTTCTTCTTTTTTTATCTATCCCATTAACATTGGTCAATAGGATAACAACCCTAAACGTTATGGGTGTAAATTATGTTTCTTCATTAACTAACAATTCCGAACACTCAGCTGTACGTTTTTGGTCAAACTGAAAACAGACAACCCGCTCTACATCGGTACATCCAATTTAAAGAGATGCGCTTTTGAAGATTGTACCAGGTCATACACCTTTAGAAGATTCTATAGGGATCATTCACTTCTAAAAGATTAAAGACTCACCAACTTACCAAACAATAAAAAACATATTTCTTGCAAGAAATATGCATGGGAGCAAATGAACTTTCCCTCTACATCCAGTTTAAAGAGAAGTTAAAAAAATGTGTGCTTTTGATGATTGAATAATGTCATACACCTTTAGAAGATTCTATATGGTCATTCACTTCTAAAAGAGTCACCTTGCAACAAATATGCATGGGAATCTGCAAATAAAATTTCACTTCTAGTTCATTTTTGGAAATTAGAAATACCACCAAATTAGATCTCAAATCAGTGACGTTCGTTGTACACTAGACCATATTCCTAATAGTCATAAGATTTCAACATAAGTTAGCTGTTAGCAGAAGATATCAAAACGTTTTAAAATGTAGCACCGTATCATAGCCAATTATAAAGCAGGCTTGAGGCTTTTATTTATTTATTTAACCTGACATGAAAAAAGGCTCCTACATAAATAAAAAGTAACATTTACTTGTAAAATTTCATACAATTCAATTAACCAGGTGGAATCTTAGAGATAAAATCCTCAATTATCATCCTTAAAGAATACGAAGTATATCACCATGTAGCTCATAAACAGAACTATAATTGTATGACATAGTTATAAACTTCAAGAAAATAATCACATATATAGATCAATAAATAATAAAGTTAGCTACAAACTAAGTTTATTACAGAATACAGTCATAGTTACAACTTCATATTTTCACAATCCTAAAAAGTTCATATGGATATTTTAGCAAACATATAGCAATCAAACCAAAAGGAGGGGTAAAATGAAACAAAACAACCTCAAATTATAATTAAGTAGATTCCAACAACAACACCTGGAATGATGTCAAACAACGGAATATAGTTTTGGACTTGGTTCCATATGATAGTATACATGTTCTCCAACATGGTGCATGTGATCAATTATGTTATCCTGGGTACTTTTTAACTTAGGTTTAAAGTTAGCCTTTCATTTTACCCATTTCAGGTACAAGACACTTGCTAATAGATCTATTTTAGTTATAAAAATATATCAAGAGCAGTTATTCTTTCATTCTCAGCCATCTATCCTATCTACATTTGAATTCATATCAGAATAAAAGGAAACCAAATTTGAATTAGAAGAATTCATATAGTGTGTTTGTGCAACCTGTGTTTATATATAGTGCGTTTGTGCAACCTGTGTAAAAAGGGGGGAAACATTAACAAACAAGAAATTAAAAGAACACGCACCTGGAGAAATGTGAGGTTACGGGGAAAATCGGTTGCCAATGGAAGAACATGTATTTATATGCTCAGGGTAGAGAAGGAGTGAAGATGATGGTGTCTCTTGAATTTCCATAACTTCCTATGAAGAGGAGAAGGTTCGATGCATGTGTAGGCAAAAAAGAAATTAAACAGATTCATAAATGCTAGAGTAATAACACTTTAACAAAATAAAAAGGAAACTTACAAAGAAACGCCGAAGAAGAAGAAAAGATGTGAGCCAGGGGGATGTGCGACGGGATGGCCTTGCGCGGCTAAAGAAGAAGCTTGAGTCCCTAGTGCTGAACCGAAGATCTCTGGCCTGGTTGGTTTTTGATTTCTGACTCGATCGAAGGATGTCATGTTCGGCTAAAGAGGAAGCTATAAGCCGAACGGTGCTGGGCGTTGGAAAAATTTAACGGAAACAAACGGGGTGTAGGGAGATAAAGCTAAACGGGTTGAAAGTTTACAAGTATCTAAACATGATGTACATGTCAATTAAGCTTACAATACCACCAACAAAAAATTTATACCCACAATACCATTAACTCTCATTGAGGCTTATAAGATTGTAGAGATATGACTATGTTAAAGGCCAATACTTTGAACCAGGATGTAAATTCAAATTTGAGACATGTTTTAGCATTTTTATGCTAATTCAAACAATCAATTAAATAAAGGGAAGATAATAGGCTACATACAAGAATCAATTCAAGACGGAAAGGAAAAGGAATATGATTATTGTTTTAGCTAAAGAATACTTAGAGGATTTATGATGGGAATATATAAGAATTAAGAATACAAAATATAATGGGTTTTATAATACTGAGCTCAATACATTGATAATAGTTTTTGAAGAGGCACAGTATGTATCGTATATCTGCCCCTTTACAAATGAAATAGCGCTTTCCATTTATACTTACAATTGCTATCATGAGGCTAACATGTCTATCTTCCAGGCACGTCCCTCTCCTATGCCATCGAATTAGGGAGTTTGTTATGTAGTTCTATAACTTCGTACCACTATCCAAGTCAAACCTCCATGTCCTTATCCATTTAGGCATAGTGTTCGATTAGGTCACCTGATTATATATTTGCTCTAGGCCTGGACTTCAAATTAATTTCCCGAATTATTTGGTGGTTCAACAATTGTCCCCTTTCGAGAAGTTGAAGCGTATGGATGCACGTCAAGCAGCAACTTGCGCAGTTAGAAGCACAATTATCTTCAAGAATTCATTTGAATGTCTTCCCGATTGAAGTTTTAGCTGAAATTTGGTATGACTAAACTAGACTTGATGAATAAGATGCTCAAAAAAATTCATCAAAAAATTCCACCGGAAACCACCCCAAATGACGATGGCCGGACAGAGTCTCCTAAATAAGGGCTTATTTGACCTTTTTTGGTTAGTACATGGGCCTATT